GCCGAACCTGCCGTGTCAGCAGGTAAATAAAACTGGCCCGGCCAGCCAGGGTGCTTACCCTGGCGAGCCGCGTGCCGAACGTTGCAGACCCCTGCCATAACCAATGCTCTGCAAAAAAGGCATTGGTCTCTTCATCCTTCATTGTAGCAGAATTACATATAGTTTATTCACAAAAATAATGCAACTTGGCAGAAGTGTCACCATTTTGATCCACTTGCATATGTACCTCTGCAAGACTAGGTGAATTGCTGTGAAACAACATGCAAGCAGAGCTCAGAGAGACAGTTTTCAATAGCTCACTTTGGTGTTTATTTGTTTGCTACACACAGGATGTCTTAGAAAAGGTAAGATGTAGGTGGAAGGGCAACAACCAGAACACCTATTGCTAGGAGAGAGGTCTCTCTGGGTATGTCTCCACTGCAATGTAAGCCTGTGCTTAATCCCGGGCTCAAACCTACCCCATCCCTTGCATCTACATTGCAACTGCGCTAACCCTGATCTTGAACCCAGGGTCCCAGGACTCTGCAGGGCTGGAGGGTCCGACCTCGAGTTAAGCTGGGACCCAGGGTCTGAGCCCTATTGCTTTGCAATGTAGACTTGGGTCCCTGGGAATCAGCTGGAAGCATCCCACAGTTCCGTGGGACAACTTTGCTAGTCCTCTCTATCCCAAAATCTGTAATCCACTCTATTGAAAGCGGAAGCCACTTCCCTTTGCAAACAGCAGCAGCTCAGGTCCGCATTAACCCATTCTCTTCTGATCCCCTATCTGCAAGTACCCTATCAGAGAGCTTCCAGGGTTTGCAATGGAGACTGAACTGATCAAGTGATCTGCAAAGCAAGCAGCTTCCTGGTAACATACAGGGCGGGCAGCAAAGTTTTCGCACAATGCACCACTGTCTTATGGCTAGAACGACTACATTTTGGGGGGAAGAGGGTGCTAGGAACTCTGGGATATAGTTACTTTGACTCGGGTCTGTGTTCTTCAATGTGGTCGCCAAAGCCCTACTTTCAAGCATGGGATAGAAAAGTCATACAATAGGGTTAAAATACAATGTAGCTGCCCAGGGTTCCCTAACATGGGTCAGCTGACTTGAGTCCCACTAAACTCAAGCTTACATTGCAGTGTAGACATAACCTGAAATTTCAGAACTGAGAATGGGTCAGTCTCAGCCTCCTGAAGGGAAGTGAGAATGCAGAGTCCTGGGGAGACAATAATCCCTTTAATATACGAGAATAATACCGTGTTTCCCCGAAAATAAGACAGTGTCTTATATTAATTTTTGCTCCCAAAGATGCGCTAGGTCTTATTTTCAGGGGAGGTCTTATTTTTCCTGGAGCTTCGGGGCCTTATATTCCGGGGTGGCCTTATTATCGGGGAGGTCTTATTTTCGGGGGATGTCTTATATTACAGCGAGAGGCAAAACTGGAAGTAGGTCTTATTTTCGGGGGATGTCTTATTTTCGGGGAAACAGGGTATATATATATTAAAGGAAAATTATACAGGTGAACAGGAATGAAGTAGAAGTGAGAGACATGGAGGAGCTGGAATCCAGGTGTCATCTGAAGGCCAGCATTCTTTGCCTATTTTAAACCAAGTTGTGTTTCAACTTTTTGCCACTTTTACACCAATGGCTTGGTAATCTCCCTTGCATACCAATGTCCCACTATGGTTGTAACAATGTGCTCTGGTGATCTTATAGGGACTGATTTTGAAGGGGAGTTAGGATAAGTTCCTTTTTAAGAAAGAGTGGAATGGAATCTATATGGGTAACTGTACGTGAATCTTAGTTATTGTATTCAGCAGTCAGATATCATAGTGCTGGGCTCCCTAGAAATACCATAGATATGGAGTGGCTCAGCAAGCTGTCATCTCTTTCTGACCTTCTGCTCCATCTACGTTGTGATATATATGTTATGGCTTAGGGAAGAAGGATGAACTGCTTTTCATTTGTAAAAAAACTGCCCCAGGCAAATGTGAGCGTTTCCCACCTTTACTGAAGAAATCACATTTGCCATTTTTCTATCAGTCTGAATTTCCCCGCACAGCTATACTTACTGCATGTTCTGTTTCAATTGACCTTACAGGACAAAACAAATACAGAAACAAATCCATGCAACATAAAAAAAAAAAAAAGTAAGTCGTATCCTGCTGGAGGTGTTGTATCTATCTCTGGCGCTGAGCCACAAGGCTACAATGGCAAAGCTAAAATGATAGGACGTGTAGCTTGTTAAGCATCTTATTTGACTTTGCTAAAAGCTGACACTTCCAATGCACTATGAAGGGAACACAGTATCAGAGTTTCCTGAGCAAATCTGTAGCACAGCTGGCTGAAGAACCAAATTCACCTGGTTTTATCACTTTTTCCCTAATTGTCTGTTTGGGTGTGTTAAAGTATCCGCTGGCAAGTGAAACTCACACATAAAGGATCAGGGGTTAGGAAAAGCAGTATAGGTGATTTAAGAAGAGCATACTATCAGACTTTAATCATATCAGAAGATCAGGAAAGCATCACTGAAGTATAAGGCAGGAACTTTGATTATGCTAAATATGGCAAATGCTCAGTTTGCTAAATCCCTTTGGATCCAATTTCAACATTACAGTACTTGTCATTTTTGCTTTCCAGCTAATGAGGGTGTGAGTTGGCAATCATCAGGTAAGGTTATAAGACTACATTGAAGATTGCACCATGCAGTTTAATGATCAGCTCATTTTTGGGTCTTTAGTGTATGACAAACTCTAAAACAAGAAATGGGGTTCTAGGAAATTCGTATTAGACTGGGTAGATGAAGGGTCTTTTCCTACCTGCTTGGGGAAAGAAGCATTTGAAGAGGCTCTTAGTTGTCTCCTGCTTAATTACTAGATCCCTTTTCAGAGATCTAATCTTTAGAAGACAAGATTTTAATCACTGGATGTGCATATAAAAAATTACCTCTGTATTACATGTGAGATTTACATTCTCAGGATTATTTGAGAATTTCCCTTTGGTTTATATATGCTCTATATTTCTCAAAAAAGTTAACTGTATCCATTAAAACTACTACTTTAAACTAACTTTGTGACTAAGACATTGTAAAGCATTAATAAACTCCTTAGGCCTTAAGTATAAACAAAACTATTGTAAAACAATGCAACTCAATTCAGTCTTCACTGTGTTCAGCAATTCAAAATATGGTTGACAATAAAAGGTACGGGAAACTACACTAGCATTGGAAAATACACGTTAAAAAAGTTAGTGACACTTCATCTCACGGTTCCCTTACGTTCCTCCCATCTCTGTTGTATCTTGCTATATACTTAGATTAACACTTAGGGGCAGGGACGCTCCTTTTTTTAAATGTGTATGACAGTGAGCTAGGGGGCCTTGATCCCTAATTAGGGCTTCTAGGTGCTACCTCGATACAAATAATAAGTTTGGATATGATTCCCATATGTAACCATTGGTAAATCTTTCAAGGAACACCCTCCTCTCTCCTCTTTCTTCATCCTTCTTTACCATGTAAACTTTCTCCTCAAAAACTGAGCACACACAATGGACAGGAAAAGGCCTCAGAAAACCTTTGGTTAGAGACCTCTTCAAGTTACTTACAGATGCGGCGCTTAGGTACTGTGGCAGTGGGTGGTATAGAAAATACCTACGAGAGATTTTGGACCAATGACTGTACTCCTTTTGCCAACAAAAGTCCCTTTGACTACGGAACGTGGCCTCTTGCGTTACTTGGTACCAAGCAAAAGGTACAGGCAAAAACCAATGCAGTGCCATTATACTTCAGCATCAGGCAATGGAACTCCCAGACCCTCCCCTTCCGCACTCTTCTTGAGCTCATCATTACATCTGACTAGCTGAACAATGCAAAATGCCACCATCAGCACTGAGAAACATGCTACAGTGGCATCGCAGAGGGTCAGCATGTTCATGATAAC